ACCCAGTGATTAATCTTTTTTTTTTGAAAATACTGATTCATTTTACATATTCCAATTTCTAAAAGAAATTAAACTGAATTCAAAAATATAATTAATATATATATATATATATATATATATATATATATATATATATATATATATATATATCACCATAACTAATAGCATTTTTACTAATTAAAACAAGAATTTTTGACTGTTTAAATACAAGCTTTTATTTTGAAAAAAAAAAGCATTAAATGACACATAAGGAGTTGATATGCCATAAAACAAACTAAACCAAACTCACAAGGCAATGAGTAATAAATGGCACAGTGACAAATGAAAATACCAGTGTGAAAGGAAAAATAAATGCCACAGTCTGAAATGTAAATAAATGCCACAGTGACAAATGTAAATAAATGCCACAGTGACAAATGAAAATACCAGTGTGAAAGGAAAAATAAATGCCACAGTCTGAAATGGAAATAAATGCCACAGTGAGAAATGAATAATAAATGCTTCAGTGTGAAATGGAAATAAATGCCACAGTGAAACATGAAAATAAATGCCACAGTGACAAATGAAAATGCCACAGTGAGACATGAAAATAAATGCCACAGTAAGAAATGAAAATTCTTCAGTGTGAAATGTAAACTCATAGTTTATTTTTAGCCGATTTCATTGTTTATTTCAGGGAGTCTCTTGCTCAGTCTTGATAGGTTGGTAGGTTTGGTAAGTGACACTTGGAGACAACTTCTGTCACTTTTAATATTTCTGGCTAACAGATCAGTTTTTCCCCTCAACAAGCAAGAGCTCTGTCTTTCTCCTATCAAATGTCTGCCCATTTCAACACCTGGCAACTCTCTCTCAACAGGACAGCATGCTACCATCTCTACCCCAATGGTATTGGTCAATATAAGTCTGTGTCCCGGAAGCTTTCACCATCCAATTTGTTGTCACTTGTTTCCAATAATTTACATTTATTCATCAATTATTTTTTCTTTTTGTCAAATGTGTGGCTGTTTGTAAAGATCCCATTTCACAGACTTTATTGCCAGTCATAAAACATGAACTACTTATGGCAGATTTAAAATAAGACACAATCACTTACTATGTAGGTGTGTTCCAATCATAGAATCAAAATTGCATAAGCAGCAAAAAAAAATAGAAAAGTCAAATATGCTTCAAAGATTTTCTTAACATTGTACAAATTCTGTTTAGACTGGGATGACTGGAAAATTTATCGCCAATCCTATAATTTAACCAATTAACACGCAAATGTCAATTACTTAAATCTTCATCTCGTGCCATGTGGCTGTGGGGTCAGAATAAAGTTATAGATTGATATTATTACAAAGTTGAATGTGTAGTACAACTGCGACCCCCAGGGTTGTGTGAAGTTACAGAGATCAATATCCCTGGTATTAATTAATCACTGTTTTATTGATTAAACATCCAGATTGAGCAATGGGTTTTATATTGTAGTGTCAAAAAATATAAACTTGATGTTACATGTTCAGTGTAATTGACAGTAGAACGTTTAAAATTTCACATAATCGGACACAAGGCTGCAGTTATGGAGCATCTAATAGAGATTGAACTCACTGACAGTTTATTAAACACATCACCAGCTAGCCTTAATTCTTTGGTTGACACTTAAAGGAGACATTTCTTAAGCTCATGATGGGAAATGGATTTTGCTAGCAAATAGAATTTGGTTCTGCTTTAGTGTGTCTCTTACTAATCATTTTCTGCTTTAGTGTGTATCCTAACACCAAATCCAACATTATAAAGGCATTGTTCCAACTTTTTTCTTGATATGTTAAAAGACATTCAGAATGGTTTTATTTAAAGGATTCAAATATCTTGTTTTATGATTTTTTTTGTCAAATTTCTTATTTTATATTTTTTTATTTTATTTTATAGCATCCCTCCTTTCATTTTTGCTTTTCTCCTAATGTCAGATAATGTCGGATACTAATGTGATGGTAGGATACACTGATTGGTAGGACACATGCTAAAGCCACACCCATTATACTATAAAGAACTAAGCAACATAAAACAAACCTTTTATGAACAAAAATCTCATTAAACATTTCATTGACAAACAAATAAAATGATTTTTAAAGTTATATAATATGTGTGTGTATTTACTGTTTAGGCAGCTTATCTTCATTCTATCTGGAAAAGATCAAAAGTACATGGGTTTAAATATACTACGGAGACTTCCTTGATGAATTTCAGGTACTGCTTTAGTGTGTGTCCTACTGATCAGTTTCATATATATATATATATATATATATATATATATAATATTGTATGTATATGTATGTATGTATATATGCATATGTATGTATGTATATTTATGTATATGTATGTATGTATATTTGTATATTTATATATGCATATGTATGTATGTATATTTATATATATGCATATGTATGTATGTATATTTATGTATGCATATATGTATATTTATGTATGCATATATTATGTATGCATATATATGTATGTATATTTATGTATGTATATTTATGTATATATATGTATGTATATTTTTATATATGCATATGTATGTATGTATATTTATGTATGCATATATGCATATGTATGTATGTATATTTATATATGCATATGTATGTATGTATATTTATGTATGCATATGTATGTATGTATATTTATGTATGCATATATGCATATGTATGTATGTATATTTATGTATGCATATGTATGTATGTATATTTATGTATGCATATATGCATATGTATGTATGTATATTTATGTATGCATATATGCATATGTATGTATGTATATTTATGTATGCATATATGCATATGTATGTATGTATATTTATGAATGCATATGTATGTGTATGTATATTTATGAATGTATATATATGTATGTATGTATGTATGTATATATATGTATGCATATGTATGAATATATATATATATATATGTATGTATATATATGTATGTATATATTTGTATGTATATATATATATATATATATATGTGTGTGTGTGTGTGTGTGTGTGTCTATATATATAGATATATATATTTATATCTTAATTATATATATATATTATATTATTTATATATATATAATTTATTTATTTTAGGATATTACGTCAAAAATATGTAAGAATTACTACACAATTGCAGTCATGTTTCAACACATAATGATGCAGCTCCTCAGGCAATTGTAAATTATTGGCGAGTGAATGATTAATTTGGTTTCAAAAGCAAAATACATGATCATTTTTTGAAAAAACAGCTTATGGGCTTTACCCTGATCAACCAATGAAATAAGACCTATGTTAAATTCAAACTAAGCAAAAAAGAAAAAATTAGAAATTATTATCTTAGAAATGTATCATTACCAAGATTTGACTTCTAACAGCAGCCAGACATTAACTTAAAGACTGACACAAATGTACACATGCCAGTCAGTCAACATTTGTAAGAAGTAAAGGTGAGGGTGTAGAGAGGTAATTTAGCTGACTGCCCAAATAGTTATAAGCCTTGTGGATTTCCTACATAAAATTTAAATTTTTTTTTGTAGTTGATAAATAAGAGGCCTCTTTAAGAAACTAGTAAATAATCTAAACATATAGAATTGTCTGGTAAATAATATGCAACTGTTAAATAAATATCACCCATATAAGATGTTAATAATATCAACCAATCAATGTAAAATATCAAAAATACTAACTAAATACCAATACATCCATATATGATATTAATAATATTACCAGGAAATCAATACAGAACTAAATTAAACTAAGACATGTTCCATGAACGTGAAAGAGGGGTAAACTGTTCTAGTTCCATGTACCATGTTTTAATGGATGTCAGTTATCAGTTATCTCCTGTTAATTCCCCTCTCCAAGTTCTCCACTGCCTTAACTGGGTATTGAACTCACACTCTTTGGGTTAAGGCAGTGGAGAACTTAGAGAGGGGAATTAACAGGAGATAACTGACATCCATTAAACATGGCACGTGGAACTAGAACAGTCTACCCTAGTGAGCGAAATAAAGGGTTCAGTTCAACATTCCAACCACCTGAAGAAGGCCGGAGCATACAACGGCTGAAACATAATAAATATGGCGACAAAGATGAGGACAATAGTCCGAATAATGTAAATAGTGTCTACTATTATTCTATATTGTGAATGTGGACAGGAATGTTTTTGTAGATTTTGGGCAATGAAGGCTGAATCATTCATATATATAAGCACATACCTATAAGAATGCAAACTATGCATATATAATTATTATGATAAAGTTAATTTAATTATGAAAGCTGATGTTTACTAGGCTAAGCCACATCTATCACAAGGATATAATATATATTACAATTTTGAGAAATAGCCTGCATAAGCTCATCAGCCATTGTATGGATAGTTGGTCACTCATATTTGAGAATACTTGTCTAGTAGAGTGATTAGCCAATCCCTATTGCAGATGCTTGCTCAATTGCATTTGTGTTTATTCAACACCCACAGAGCCCACCTGTGGTTTATACTGCAACTATGCTGAGCAGATCTTAGTTACAGTTTCTGGGAAAGAGCATCTTATCTAGTGTGATCAACAATTTGAACAAGGCTAGCATACTCAAGCTGTCAGCTACGATGACTTGTGACCGTGCTAGCAAGGGTTCCATCTACCCAATTTCACTCGCAAGGCTTGGTTCAACCCGTAGTATGGTTTTCAGGGGTTTCCAAAGGTGCTGAATGTTGGGATTGCTCTCCTCCAGTCCAATAACATCAGGAAGTCACTTTCCTGACAGGTCAACGATGGTGAGATTTGAACCTAGGTTTCATGATCAGAATGCAAACGTCCTAACCACTTGGCCATTACTTTATGACAAATACTCACCTATCCAAAATCAATAACAAATTCCAAATCATTGGTTGTTGTTTGAAAGATATAATGACCAACTTTTTGATTTTAATTTTTTTGTCTGAAGATCCTGAGAAAATTTTCTAAATGTTCTTTTTTTTCTTTTCAGGTAGACTCCTTCCTGGACTTTTACAAACAGAAGACTAGAAGCAAAGCAGCTTGCAGATAAACCAGCACAACTAGGGCCTGGCCCTCAACAGCTACTACTACCGCTACCTCAACCGGGTTGTATATATATATACATAATTCTTCTTTGATTTGTCCCTCCAAACCGCCAAAATTTCGTTCTCAAGTTTTCGAGACAACTTCTCGACTGGAGTTAACTTCCTGAAGAGGCGCTTCAGTTCGGGTGATCTTCAAGGGGAATTACGCGATGCTCAGGAACAGGGTCAAGTTCCCATCCTTCCTATTAGGAAGGGCCCATCTCCAAGTGCCCCCAGTTCCCCATCAAAAACTACTGCAGCAGGTATTGCCAAAGGTTTATTGTCCGGGCCAAAGGCCACTGTCAACAAAGACAGATGTAAAACCTTGCTGGTCATCGATGACCCACACACTGATTGGTAGGTTATGTTCTTTTGTCCTTCTTGGCTTTAGACCAGTGGTTCTCCATCAAGGTCCGTATGGCCCCTGGAGGTCCATATAGAATTTTGGGGGTTCCACGATAGTATTTCAATGGTCAATGAAAAAATTTAGTTTTAAACCTATTTATTATAAGAAATAACTAGGTTCAACATAGTATGTATAACATGCAGGGGATCTTCGACTTACGACAGAGTTCTGACTCTATGATGTGTCGTAATGCGATTTTTCGTTTAAGTGAGTACATACCTGTGATTTTCCGTGAATAAGCATTTACATTATTTACCTATGTTAATGCAATACTAAAGTAATAATTTAGGACATAACAGCACATATTTATGACATATCTTAGCATAAATAAGGCTAAGAAAACAAATGGAGGACATAAATATAATACACATAATAAAATGAAAATAATGCATACAATGAAATAAAATTTTTTTAAGCTGCTTGCATATTTATTGCCAGTGATGTCAATGTCTCTTGGTAGATGAGATGACGAAGCATAAGATCTTGTCTCTCTTGCAGTACTCAGAAGCAGCAGCAAATCTGTGGAAGAAAAAAAACAAACTCATGGAAAGAGGATTGCAGAAGGAGTCTGATGCTTGTTGGAGTGGCACAGGGAACTGACCATTTTTCCAGCATCTTTAGTGATGGATCTCATATCCAATTGTTAAGAAGAAAGTTCCATTCAGATGGCCACTTCCTGAAAACCACTACTTAGTAAAACAGACTCCCAAGAAATTTCTTCCCTGATTACTACAATCTTAACCTCTTCAAGTCTAGAGTCAGCTGTTAGCTACATTCACATAACGCAATCACTAAATTTCTACATTGAGTGGCTCAACTGCCAGCCATGTCAATTAAAGAAAAATGACAGGAGGTGAGATCATATTTTTTTTATAATATTGTTCATGTAATACAAGGCTCAAGAGCCACTCAAGGTAGAGGATTACTAAACGAGGTTATTGTAAGTGTGTGCAAGGAAGGAGTAAGAGGTGCTTATTAAGATTGGTTGGTTGTTTTTATTTAGTGGCATATCAACCTCTATGGGTTACTTAATGCCAAAATCTAAATATTCTGTACGCAATTTTTTTTTTATTTCTGGAGGTAATAATGGTTTAGTGATACAAGTCTTGCTAATTAACCTTTAGCTGGGGGAGGAGAGGTGAATTCATACCTAATCTGATTTTGATAAACAAACAAGAGTCCGTTCCACAATATAAGTTCTGAGGGGAACTTCCTCCTTACCAATGGAATATGAAAAAAAATGAGTTGATTTGGTGCACATGGCCTCCAAAATCAAGCTAGTAATTTTTTATCACTGCTATGCAGACCCCGCATGTTTGCAGTCATGATGAATGGTTTCACTCTCATTGAAGCTCCTTGCCTTGAATATTTACTGAAACTCGAGCACACTCCAGACCTCAAGTAGAACTCATATATATGAACCATTGTTAAAGATTCTGGAAAGACGGTCAGTTCTTTGTATTGTTTTAGAATGTATCTGACACTTCCTGTTTTGTGCTATCTTTACAAGAACCAGATCAAACCAAATATGGACATCTGACAGCAAGGAGGTTTTGAGGAGCATGAAACCACCTCTTAATTGTTGGTGTTCCCAGGTCCACCTTGGCCCGGGGTGGTAGCACCTGTTAGGGTCCCAGCTATGGGCAAATGGAGTATTGCTGTCCTATCTGGGCCAGTTTTGAGCTCAAAAGAATTTATGTGGCCATGTGGGGGATGAAACATTTTCAACTGTACAGCCTCTTCCCCACAGATGAAACATTGCTAGACTCTTGGTACTCTACTGCTGTTTTCATTGTAAATATTCAGATGAGCTGCATTTCTTCATTCTACAAGTTGAGGCTTTCACAGCTAGACTTGCCATGCCATATACACAAGGTTGACTCATCCTCATTCCATTTGTATTTCATTAGTAAGGAAGAAGTTCCATTCAGACAGCTTCTTCCCCAGAACTGTTATAAAAAAATGTTTCCTTGATTACTGTAACCATAACCTCTTTGCATCTAGAGTCAACTGTCATCTTTTTGGAAATTCAGTTGTCCAGGTTTTTGTATTAAAAATCTGAACCTCCAGATACCCAACAATAATAAAATAAAAATAAAGAAAACATATGTATGCCAGTTAAACAAATCATTTGTATTTACAAATGTATGTACATGAATTCAAATGTGTTAAAAAGGAGTAAAAATAGTCTTGAATTGAATTAAAGTCTTTGTGTAATTGGTACACAGAAAAAATCAGTAGTTTAGAAAAGACTTTTAAACAGTTGTACTGCAGAAAAAGTTGTAGTTTAGAAAAGACTTTTAAACAGCTGGTCCACAGAAAAATCTGGAGTTTAGAAAAGACTTTTAAAAACACAGAAAAAAATCTGTGGTTGGGAAAAGACTTTTATCATTAGCGAAGATTCACTGACAGTCTTTATTGTTGGAAATTGTTCATTTGATGTCACCAACTGATTGTCAGTGAAGATTTACTGACCATCCAAGCTGTTGTAGTAGCTGAGTTATTTTAAAGTTGCCAACACTTGTTTCTTTCAGCATATGCTGGGGAGGAAGCTCATCTTGTGTTTGGCTTGGAGACTGCTGTATCTCAGGTCCCAAAAAGTCAATATCTGTGGGTTTTTATTAGAAATTTTCCCAAAATTTGGCTCAAGAAAAATAACGTTTTAGATTTCACTGATTGGTCAAATATTCCAAATGGTAATGTTAATTTCTAACCAATAGACACTTTGATTTAAATGGTTTGTGTTGCATTGTGGAGTCTTAGGCACAATTGTAATATATTTACAATTTTAATATATTTACAATTGTGATCTGTTATTGGGTATAAAATAAAGTTTGAACATATAGTATGTATGTATATAATTGTGTTGGAAATAGCATTTCTTTCCTATAATCTATTCTGTATATCACCATAATATACACTTCTTACCTTCTCCTCTTATGTTCATCAAATAACTTCATTCAGTAAATCTCTGCCTTGAGTGGCTCTTGGTCATTGTATTGAATGAACAAAAAACACCTCTAAATTTTCTATATTTATTAACTTTAGCATTAATAGTGTAAAATCCAATGACAGACAGATAAAAAATAATGACTTTTTATATAAGATTAACTGAAAAAACTGTTTAGAAAAATGTCCTTTTGCTTGGTGCTAAGTTAAATTTTGCCAAATAGCCAGTAGAAAAATAAGAATATTTTCAAAAATATTCTACCCATGAGGAAATCTACTTGTTCTTTGTAAGTGTAAGCAATGTCAGTTCCCTGAAGAGACAAATAGACAAAGTTACCTGGCTTTTTATATAAGATTAACCAAAGCCGTCCTTGACAGGCTTGATTGGATGTGTGGCACGAGTTGGGAAGGAAGAATTTTTTATAACTAAAACCCGATTTTTAACTGCAACGCCCCTGCAGGGAGATGACCTCTGTTGAAAAGAAAAAAAGATTTCCTCAAGCCACACTTTTAAATGTAACCTGTCCAACATTTCTATTGTAAATGTGTTCGGACTTTTGGCCTCATTTTGAATTGTGGTTGCACAGGAACATTCAAGAAATTATTTCTTAATTTTGTTATATATTTTTAAATTTTTTCTGCATATTTTATTTTGCTTGGCTTCCATTTTTTTATTTTTATTTCTTTTACAAGGAGTAGATAGTTCTGTCTATCGTCTGGTTCACATGCCTCTCGAGTCTTATGAACAGGAGTAAAGGTTTATCCTTTGTTTCCTGTTCAAGATTGAGTTTCCTATTCCTTGTAAAGTCTTCTCTTTTTCTTTCACTCCCAGTAACACGCTTGCGTTTTCATGACATTATCACCTGGTTTGGCATGAGATGATTAAAAAAAAAAAAAGGATTGAATTTTAAGAAAAAAGAATTTCAATATTTTTCAAAAGTTTTTGGCAAAAGCTGGAGAATCAGTTTTATATCTATATCTATAATTCTCAAAATGTGTGTGTGTGTGTGTGTGTGTGTGTGTGATTGGATGTTGTTTATGCGTTTCAACAGTTTTCATCTGATTTTGATGAATTTTCTTATGTTTGATAGATAATTCTTCAGTGCTGGTTTTGAGTTCAAATTGGCTGGTAAAAATTACAACCTTGAAGGTGAAAAATTAAAAAAAAACATATTTTTTACACTTTACGCAAAAATTAAATCCAAAATTTAATGTCTGTAAAAAACAGCATACAATCAATTTAGAGAAATTGAAATCTAATGCAAAAGACTATTAGAATTATTAAAAAATTATATTATAAATAAAAATTATTGTATATTATTATTATGACGGTCCATGGAAGAGGTTCCTTCCTTGCAAGATTGAGAATGCAAAAACGGCCCTTTTCAGGCCCTCCCCCATTCAAATTGTTAACCCCCATTTGGGGATGTGCCTCAGTTGCACCCAATTGTTGTTACTAATATTGATTTTCGGGTGGGCTGACTTTAAATTTAAACTATTCTAACTGAATGGCAAAAATTCCCAGTAAAGAAACACCCAGTTGAAGACGGGTTATACAGCTAGTTTGGTAATAAATTGATAAATTTAATAAATTATAATAAATTATAATAAATTTAATAAATTATAATAAATTATAAGTCTTATATTTGGTAATAAATTATTTAGTCTTGTATATTAGAATATAATTATTTAGTCTTGTATATTATAAATATAAGAAATAGAATAAGCAAACCAAGTTAAAATACAAGCCTTGCCTGTTGTATTCACATTCAGACAAATGCCCTTGGGAAAGGCATCACTTTATTTCTTTTCCTACCTACCCATCTATGTGTTAAATAGCAGGGTAGACTGACCACTCTAGCATTGGGTGTCATCCACTTCAGGAAGACAACTCTGAAATCCAAAATCACAATGTGAAACCACTCCACCATCATTCCCAAGAAGCCATAGCAATTCACAAAT